CGTCAAAGTGGTGTTACCTCATCACTCGCCTTATTTCCATGTTTAACTTCCAAAGAAAAAATCAAACATTTTAAATATAGTTACGTTTAATTAGAATGCGGTTGTGATCTGCTTCTAAATTGATGCGATTCGGGTGTGTTTTCGGGGAGGACAATTGAAGTTGAGGAAGCTCATATCTGGCAACGGGAACCATTGCCACGTATCTTGCTGCGGCGGAAGGTCGCGCGATTTGCTTGAATATTGATAAGAATTCCTCATTTAAAATTTATACTGTTCGCTATGGCAGAGAGTCTTCCTATGAAAGTTGCCCTTCTGACTGGTATTACTGGACAGGTTAGTGATAGCATGGGGTAAAACTTGTAGCTTTGCATGTCTTGCAGAATACTGATCCAAACGCTTGTAGTCAAAGCAACTTTGGCTGGTGGGCGGCTTGAGCTTATCTCTACTTGGACTGTCTGTACATAACTAGGTACCTTCATCGTGTTATGTATGGTAAATATTTACAGAAATATAATTTTATGCTTCAATTGTCAAGGCTTTTATGCTTCAATTTGTCAAGGCTAGGAAAGGTTATAAATATTGCTTGCACCATCATAATAATAATAATAATTTCATTTGCAATATGGTATAATGGGTTGGTGAGATTACAAAAGCTTGGTATTTTTACATTCATGCAACGCCACTAACACGCATAATGTTTTGGGCAGGTCCTTTATCTAACATATCAGGTAAGATGAAAGGGTACATTGTAGCAAGGTTTTTATATCAACAGATAACAACAACAAAAGTTGACAGGTGATTACACTGGTAAGGATATATGTTATTAAGTACTAATATTGGGGAAGTGGGTAGTACAAGATACAGTGTCAGTTTGAAGCACAAGGTTGGAATCTGAGGATGAAATTAGATACATTTTTATTTTACTTTTGAACAGGGCACAAGGGCAGTGAGTTTTAAGCTCAAGGTAGGAAACTATCATTCTGCTTAAGGCAGTAAATGATATCAGGCAGGTCCCACAAATAACCCTTAAGTTGGTATATTAGATAAGTTATAACTGTCAGCATTTAGCAATACTATAATTATAATGTGTAGAACAAGGAAAAAATTACTTTAAAATTTGCTTATTTCATATTAAAGATAAAAATAGGCAGCAGAGATTTTCAAAGGAAGCCAATGACCAATGTCACTTTTTCTAGCCCTTTGTCATTATTTAAATTTGAAATTAACTCCACCCAATTTAAGAAGAAAATATGGAGCACAGACTATTAATGGATGTCAACAATTAGTGCTGGATCTATTTCCATTTTAAATAATTATAAAATGAGCTTATTTCCAGTTAAAATTGTTTTGTCATACTTTGGACTCATTACCATTATAATATTAATAAATTGTTAAACCGTACAGTATTTGTCATTTATTCACATGGGACCCTTTATTAGATCATTATTGCTCAACAAGTCATTCATAATTGTAGATCACATTTCTTTCTAAAGTTTCCAAACTAGACTAAATAAATTTACTTCCTATATGTAATCTTTTCTAACATAACCTAGCAGCAACATAACCTAGGTAAATTCACTAATGATGGCTGACTTTACCCTAGGTGGCTGGATTTACTGTGAACACCAAATGTCATGTTACCCAGTTATCACACATTTGTATAGGAATTTCACCACTACAGTATAAACATGCTATTATACCCCACTAACCTCTCAAAATTTTTGTGCATTGTGTCTGTACTGTAATAACTTGGTATTTAGTAGGTCATGTCCGATCTTAATGTTGGCAGACACTGACATAGCATACTGCTCTGTCACTGGAATTGGCAATGCAAATGTTTACTGGTTCATTCCATAAGAACCACTAAGCATTTAGATCTGATACTACTAAAAGTACAGCCTTCGCCCATCCCCACATCCTTGTTCCACAAAATTTTTTTTAAAATTATAAACTTACATACTTCATACTAATTATCATTAGTCTTAAATCACTGTTTTAAGTGTTTTAATCTAGAAGATCTCCATCTTCTGATGTGTGGTTTGGTCATCATATCTTTAGTCATGTTATTGTGTCTCATCGTCTGCAAATAGGCTGTTGTGCAATTGTAAAATATCCTGATCAGTGAGGCAACTATGTTCTTGGCCTTTTTACTACTACCTGTTTTTAAATTTAATTTAAAAAGCAATATGGTGAATTTGCATGTTACACATGATCTCAACCCTGAAGTGGATAACTATTATTACTTTTGGGCAATCCTGTGCTTAGTGGTCACTTCTCTTTGTAAGCATTTTTGTGTATTGCTTTGTGAATCTTTGATTTCTGAGTCTGCCTGTAAATTCCTACCAGTGTACTACACTTTGTATGTAGCTTAAATGCTCCTATTATCTGAAAATATTACAGTAAAATCCCCAAGAATGCAAAGTGAACTTGTGTTCTGAATTATACATGCAAGTCTCTGCTTGTACAATTTGAATTTTGAATTAAAATTTAAACTGTAGTTGTGAACCTGCTTAACTAAATTTACAAATGTCATGGATAATTTGGTTTCGCATTGTTAGACACTGGAATCCTATTTGGCTTATCAACGTTGCCCTGTTGGAGGGGGAGGCTGTGTAGTTGACTGGTCAGTTACTTGCTAAACTTATTTATATATTGTATATATATTTACAGTGTTTAACTGATCAATCATGTGATGTGACTGGCACACACATACTGCACTATTGTTTATCTTCAACTTGGTAGTTATATTTTGTTTGTGGAATTTGCGAGTTTATTAACATATTGTTTTGCATTTTTTTTAATCTTGCTGATATGTAAGCTTTCGGTATGGATAGCTAGCCATTGTATCGGAAAATTACCAGATAATGTTTGGAGATATATTGAGAGGTTCAGTCTTGTGTTTGTAATATATACTCTTCATCATTAACTTAAAACAGGCCAAAAGTGGGAAAGTAAGATATTGCACCAAGTTCTTGTGAGGAAACCCTACACGTGACATTCCTCGCAAACATGCCTCTTGCTCTTATTACTGGCGCCACTGGTCAGGTATAGTACCGTGTATTTATTTACTGCATACTTTAGTATGTTCATGATTCTTCACCCCATTTTTAGTGATTAACACACACATACTGAGGCTGTTGCATGATAGTTAATAAAAATGTGTGCGCTTACATTTGCACGTTTGAGTGTGTTCCACAAAATCTTCTCCAATGTTGTTGGAATAAACTGTTCCTCACTCACTTGTTCCGTTGAATTTAATCATGTGTGTTTCACTGACTAATTGCTGTGCTGTGCTTCCTGTTCTTTCATCTTGATTGTTATTCTGTGTGTTATAACCACATGTTTAATATTTGTTTGTCCTTCATAATATACATTAATTTTATAGCTAGCTAGCTAATAACATATGTGATTTATTTCATGTTTACCTTTTATTTGTGTTTTATGTATTTGTCTCTTGTTGTTGCTGGGATATGCCTAATTATATATATGGTGTTAAAAACTAAGATTCTTAAATTGTAGGATGGATCATACTTGGCTGAACTGCTGCTGAGTAAGGGGTACCAAGTACATGGTATTATTAGGAGATCTTCATCGTTCAACACTGGCCGCATTCGTCATCTGTATGAGGATGAAAAGGTAAACAAATAAGATGGCTGGCTGCGTTAAACTTTTATAAATTTGTCAAATCCAACAATTATTTTTAACACAAGAATTAAATCCATTGAATCACTGATTCAATGGATTGAAAGGCTACAAACAATATTTATTGGTCCACCTATCATGTAAGCTCAATACTGTATAAAAATTTGCGATTGTATTTATCATGTTTTGGAAAATTTGTCAGTTCCCAATGGGAAAGTAATTCATTACTGTAAATGAATTATACACCACACACTGTCTCTTTATAGCACTCCGAGATTCTTTCCAAAAACTATAGCAACATTATTATGCTACAGTATACTGTAATGTAATACTCATTTATTGTTAAAAAAATTCAAAGCTAGGGTTTTACATATTAAATAATATTTAGTAAATGCTTTGTGCTAATTGACGTAAAGTTTTTTATGAAGTTCAGATTTCTGGATGACAAGAAATGGCATCTGTGTAGAAATAAAAATACTTATGTCTTTCATAGGGGTGTGTTCACCTACACCCAAACCCTACTCTACAGCCAAATGGACAGGCTGGTTATTCATATAATAAGAGTAGAAGCCACATTATTTAGATTTGATGACAAATAAATATTTCTTTTAGATCCACAGAAATGGAAGGATGACACTTCATTATGGTGACTTGACTGACTCCACCTGCCTTGTTAAGATAATTTCTCGTGTTCAGCCAGATGAGATTTACAATCTTGGTGCTCAGAGCCACGTTAAGGTAAGAGTATTTGCAGAGTAAATATTAATAATAGGTTTATTATTATTTTATGAATTATACATAGGAAAATGTCAGTGTTTAATTAGTAGATACAGAAATTGAACATTATATAAAGTTTGACACGGTATTTAAACAAGTGACTAACCCTCTTTGACACATGTACTTTTTCATACATATTTTATTATTTTAAGTCCTCAGTTTGAAAAAATAGTCTGTACTCTACAGTGGAGTTTTTGATAATCAGTATTCCAAATTCCTGTAACACCGATAATCCAGTATGATCTTTTTTTTACTTCATTTCTTTGTTTTGTTACACCATGCTTTGTCATTGTTTACACATTAAATTTTTGTCTGTCATGTACTGTTTAGTACATTGGTAGGTATTTGAGAGATATAGCTTTTAGTTTTTGTTATTTGTCAAGTTTTCCATTTAATATGAACTTTAATAAACTATTAGACAATACCATATTGTACAGAAACAATCATTGCTTATACATACATGCATTCATACAACTAGAGTAAGGTCAGTAGTTGCATCCTGGGTAAGGTCAGTAGATACCCTTGGATAACCTCAATAAGCTTAAGTACTTTACAAGTTTCCTGTCCCTGACAATGGGAAATCATAACACATTTACTGCTGGGTATGGCTTCCTGGAAGAAGGAGTATTAACTGAATTGGCTGTATGTGGGGTCATTATAGCATAATTCTTAGGGAGATGCATCCCTGCAGAGGTCAGTGCAGTTGGTTCCCAGTCAAATGAGTTTGGGTCAAATTTTTAGCCAAGGTGAGATGCTTGGAAGCATTTCCCTACATCCAATGCCTCTGTTCATCTAGTAATAAATAGGTATCATTAGTAAATAATAAATAAGTAAATTGATTAGTCATCAGCCTAAGGGGGACATTGATAAGCCTAAAAGCCTTCCCGTACCAAGTAATTAGAAATCATCACTTATTGCCTATAACCAGCATATTAAAAGTGTTGTTACTGGAACAACAGTACAGATGATAAGAATGATTTTATAAATACATTCTATAGGTACTCATTTCCTTGCATAAAACCCTACTCTTCCACACAAGACACACACAATTTATGAAACAATGAAAGATTGGTTTGGTTAAAATTCATCTTTGGACTGCATAATCTACAGGAGTCTGACAATGGCAAGATATGGCTGGAGAATAACATTAGATGTGTTATTGCTACCGTGTCTGCATATCAATCCCAGTATCTGATTTGTCTTTCAAATATTTATACAGTGCTTTGATTTTATGGTGTGAGATCCCTTCTAATCATAACTTTCAGATCGTTTTGTTTAACTAATTTTTCTATAATTTCAGGTGTCTTTTGATTTGGCTGAATATACAGGAAATGTGGATGCTATGGGAACACTTCGGTTACTTGATGCCATCAGAACGTGTGGCTTAGACAAGAAAGTAAAATTCTATCAAGCATCCACATCTGAACTTTTTGGTAAAGTTCAAGAAATTCCACAGAAAGAAACCACCCCATTCTATCCTAGATCACCCTATGGTAAGGACATACACATATATACTGTGTGCATACTGTGACCCTCAAAAAATGTGGGAGAGGCATTCCTAGAAAATGATGCGTGTAGTGAATCCACTCTTTAAGTGGAATTCTACAAAAAACGATAACAGTTGGGATCGGTTTCAGAGATCCGAATTTGTTATTTTTTCATGAATTTAAAAGTATTAAACAAAGTAAATCCATTGATGATAAAAGTGTCTGTTTGCAGTGATTGATTGTATAATTATTAGAGGTGGGCTAGTTGAACCACAATCACAAATTCTCTGAAATCATGCACAATCCATAGACAGTTTCCTCCAAACAGCATTTATTGTAATGTGCTTCACTTCTGGCCATGTACCATTTATATTTCTAATTGCATCACAAGAACTAAACTGCATAAACAGTCAGGCAGACAAGAAAGCATGGAAGCAGGTAGGCACGCATTCAAGTAAGCAGATTGCAGATATGTAGACATGCAATCAGATTGGCATGTTGGCAAGCAGGCAAGCAGGCAGGCATGTAGGATGCAATCAAGTCAACGACCATATAGATATGAAATTAGGCTGGCAGTGAAGGCATGCTGGCTAGACAATAAAGACCAAGCCAACAACTGGCTTTATCAGATCACGGTTGTCACTGGATAGTGCGCGGGAGGCTGTCGTACATTCTCATCTTGTTTAAATCATCTGCTTCCTCCACACCTATAAATTTCATAATTGGCAGCTGTAGTACTTAACTACAGCCCTCACTGTGTATTGTATAATGATTTACAAGTGTTCAAGTTTGTATCTTCATTTATACATTTTATACATATAAATATTTATGCACATTCATTCATACCTTCAGCCCACATTTTTAGTTTAATCTTCTCTAAGTGTTTTCTTCTGTATTGATGCCAATTACATAAATATTAATTATTTTTAGGTGCTGCCAAACTGTATGCTTATTGGATAGTAGTGAACTATAGAGAAGCATATGGCATGTATGCTTGTAATGGAATCCTCTTCAACCACGAGTCTCCAAGACGAGGGGAAACATTTGTGACACGCAAGATCACTCGATCAGTAGCCAAGATTCACCTGGGACATTTAGAAAAATTTGAACTTGGAAATCTTGATTCCCAGAGAGACTGGGGACATGCAAAGGACTATGTTGAGGTAACAGTATTACAAACACATTTTAATGATAATATATTAAATATTCTAAGATATTTTCTTATACATAGGGAGATGGCTATATTAATTAGTTTTTACCATTGAATTTTTTACTTGATATTAAGTATAATTGCATTTATATTGAAGTACAGTAACCTCATCTAAGCAGGGTTCATTGTTCTTAAAATATTTAACCTTTTTTTTTTTTATGAAGTGACTAAATTCTATTTCAGTATATACAAAATTATGCACATTATTAATTTTGCAAGTGTGTCATTCATCTACTATATCCTACAGTAAAATACCTTACTTCCTCTTGAGGTCTAAGGCATGCTGTGTTTGGATTTAGCGATTACTGAAATTGATCCTACTATCTGATTGATTGATTGAATCGACTAAGGTGCGTCTGGGATCATCCTGGACTTAAGTTCGAACCCTCATCATAGCCCTTGTGAATTTGTTCATTAACACAGAAGTGTTTGGCACCATTTTCCTTCACCTGATGCCTCTGTGCACATTACAGTAAATACATACCCAAGAGTCAGCTGTTGTGGGTTGCATCCTGAGAAAGGCCAGTAAGTGGCCTAGGCTTATCAAGGTTTCCCCCCTTTCCCCTAACAAATTTCATGTTCCCGACTATGGGAACCAAAAAAAATTGCACTTGTGGAAAATCAGGTTCCAAGTACTGATTTTTGGCTTTGGACCACAAAGGAAATCTTTGAATTTCTTCATTTACGGTCATTTAGTATGACCCCTCTAAAAAATTAATTCTACTTATAAGTTTGGAACTGTGTATATCAACTTGTTCGGGCAAATTCAAAGAAAATCTTGATATTCTATTCCAGTAAACAGTTCTTATTGCAATGCAACATGCTTGGATCAATGAGTCTTGTGTCAACCAAATGTTGATAAATAACTAAAAATCTTTACAATAAACTCAAATACTGTACAGCAAATTATTATACTGTTTGAATATTTTGGGCAAGCAAACAATAACTGGCAAAATGTTCACAAAATTGCCAACAAATTTGATGTACCCAATCCTCCATGTTAGAAGCCTTCCTATCACTCTTCCAGTATATTGTAGTTTCCAGATCAACTTCTTATGTGGGACTTTGTCGAAAACCTTATTTAGGTCCAGATAAGTGCAGTCAACCTAACCATCTCTTTCTGGTAAAAGCACTGTGGCTCTATTCATGCCTGGAGTGGCTGGCTGTGTAAGGGCTCCACCTCTCCACTAGTAAGGTGATGAGGTTAGTGCTGTGAACCATGCCTGGAGTGGCTGGCTGTTTAAGGGCTCCACTCCTCCACTAGTAATGTGACGAAGTTAGTGCTGTGAACCATGCCTGGAGTGGCTGGCTGTGTAAGGATTAGAATAATGTCATCAAGATAAGAATACAGTAATGTCATTATTTTAATTTTGTGCATCGAATAATTGTTATATACAGTATTTATAATTTTGCTACCAAAATTATTGCTCTATCATGTGAGAAAGAAAATTATTATATAATATATTTTCTGTGAATTTTTTAATTAGAGCAACATCACCCCAGTTTCAGGCAACCATGCACACTTGTGTTGAGAACAAAAGTCTCTATTTTATGTTTGTGTTCCCAGTAACTATCATTTGCTATAAAGAAAACTAATGTTGTTTAACAACTGTATTTTATGTGAATATTTTAATTGAAGCTACAGCATCAAACTACTGTACCTTATGTTTTAACAGGATGACATTTGTACTCTCCCAACTGTGCTTGTGGGGGTTGAGAACTTGCCTTCTCGAAGTGTCAGTTTTGAACTGCACAGTATCGTTGAGATGTTTTCCAAATACTTGAATTATTTTTGATCACCTGATTATTTTAGCCCTTTTGTCACATTTAATTATTTTCCTTGTGTTGCATGATTTCTGCTGAGCACAGTACAGTTCGATCTGACTGAGCAAAACATTGCTTGAAATCGTATGTAAAGCAAGGATTCAGACTTCACATCATCTCACTTTGCCATATTTACTTTGCTTTGACTATTCCAAATAATTCCTGGTCCTTGTATTGTCTCCGTTTCCTCAAAGATTCTATAGTAGTAGGCATCCATCAGTCTCAAGAGACTATGGAGCTGTGCTCTGGTTGTCAGTCTTGAGTGGCCTCTCCAGGGCGCAAAGCCAGGGTAGGTTAATACGGAGGAGAAGCTGTTACCCAAGCAGCAGGTCCCCCCCCCCCCCCAACCTCTCCACGGTGCCGGAAGTCTCCAATGGAAAGTTAAACGCCAATACGATTGGTTCCAGCACCATCGCAGGAACTGTGAGCTCTGGAGTTGACCTCAAAGTTGGTGAAAGAAGTCACAGGGACCCCAAACCCAGATACTGCCGTGGTCAGGACTGGAGAGGAACCACCCTATCAAGGGCAAGAACAACCCCAGTCTCCTGAAGCAGAGCCTAGGCCGCATGAGCCCCAAGAGGTGGACGTCCCAGTCCCTCACCTACGGGTTCCAGACAGAGCCCTCATTGCCACAGCCCTCTTTCACCCGAGGTCGGCTTCCTTCATGAACAAGCAGAAGGAAGAGTGTTAATTATTAAATACAACAATTATTATTATAATAATAATAATTGTTAAAGATATTATAACAACAGCAAGATTCACGCCTCTTGAATCTTGTTGTTGTTGTTGAATGTATCCTCAACAATATTCTTCCATTTTCTCTGAACACCTACCTCCTCGTCCTTAAGAAAGTGGGAAACAGTAATGCTGGTTATTACAATATTTTCTTTTGTAATGTTTATACTCTTTAATATTTGAATTGTAATTCTTTGTACAGGGTATGTGGAAAATTCTCCAACAAGATGAGCCTGATGACTTTGTGTTGGCAACAGGAGAGGTTCACTCTGTAAAGGAGTTTGTAGAAGCTGCTTTTAAAGAGGTAACTTGAACTATGCTGTTTTATTGGTATTTACTAGTGTCATTGTTTATCATAATTTTTTCAATCTGTTTAAGTTTCATGTAGCTGCTTGTTCTGTATGATCCATACAGCATTTTATGTTTATCTTCCTTTGCATTTTTAAGCCTGATTTTTCCTGACTTATAGCCTCACTATTTATTATGTTTATCAGTCAAGTTCGTTATGTTGTTTTCTCTGAATCCATCCAAACCAGGTTGCCTATATACATGGGTACTGTTTCTGTTGATGTTCATTTTATACTTTACTCTGTAAAGCTGTCATTTTAACCTATTAACATCTCTCCAGTAATCACTACCACTTGTGAAGCTTTCACTTTTAGCTGCTCTTACCTCATTTGGCATTGTTGGTGTCTGAATATATTTTTTAAATTTTTAAATTGTAAGGGTGCAGCTTACAATAGAATGCGAAGGTAATACAAATTCCTTATGCAAACTCTCCCATCACACCTCACTTGTCATTTAAAGTCAGAAGTAAAATAATACTTCCCTGCATTATTCTGAAGGTAATGCTAGCCTCTTGTCATTTTTTTTATCTAGAATATATTATAGTATTGGGGGGGGGGGAGGAAGGACCTCAATACCAGCCTAAAGTATATATACCTGTATACACAGTATACCTAGTATATAGACAGGCTGCCTGGCTCCTGACAAAATTGATTATGATGTTTTATTGACAGGAATCCAGCCCATGTTAATGGCACTAAAGTTTCAAAATAAATGTAAATTGTTAATGGAGAGATTTTGAACACCTTGCAAAGTATAGCATATAATACATTTTATTTTGTGTGAAATTGTTGAAAAAGTAACAAATATTCCTAAGGAAATATTTTATTGGTGGTCTGATTAATGATCAAACTTCTAATGTTTTAATAAAATATTATTTATTGTACTATTTCAATTACTGTACATAATATAATTATTTTATTGCATGGTATTGTATTTTTTTATCTGCAGATTGGTAGGGAAATCTACTGGGAAGGCTCAGGTGTGGATGAGGTTGGGAAAGAAAAAGGCTCGGATGTTATCCGAGTAACAGTCAACCCCAAGTACTATCGTCCAGCGGAAGTGGTAAGGAGAGCTTTTCTGTCTTATGTGTAGCTCATCTTTCGTGTGTATCTTATCTCAAAACATATTTTAATGCAAAGAAACAGTGTTGGTATTTATATCTTGTTTCTTTCTTTCAAAACACAAGTTTCATCACCAGTGCCTGAAATGGAATAAAATGTATAAAGTAAACTCAATTTGAAAGAGTTTGCAAAACATGCTGGCACATACTAGTACTTTAGATGGTATATTTTTTTAGCCCTTTAACTTCTGGAGAAACAATGTGCAAAGAATGTTGGGAAAAAATATTTTTTGTAAAATAGATGGTTTAAAGAATGCATACAAGAAATATTGACACAAAAATATTACAAATTTTTATGACCAAAAAAAAGCTTCGTAGATCCTAGATGCTTTCACAGCAAAGCAAAAAAAAAAAAAAAAAAAATCCACGGCTGTGTTTATGTAACGAGGGTGGCTAAGTTTGTTTTTATTTTAACACAGGAGGGTATAAGAGCAGATGGCTTACAACTCTTGTTAGCAAGCCTAGAAACATTCCGTGTTTTTTTTTTTTTTTTTTTTTTTTTTTTTTTTTTTTTAAAGCCTGACCCTATTAATTTTACTCAATAAACGATCTGCTGAGTAAACAGAGACACAAGGTTAAGGCTTAGTTCCAAACCTCTTCCTTCCATCCTAAGTGCATGAACCCAAACCGATATGGCTTTTGAGGCTTTTGGGGCGAGTGTGCACATAGAAGCATGCAGAAAGAGTGTGCCAGCCGGAAAATCTTTAGCATGTCTTCTTCTTCTGTAGAAGTCTCAAATTCACCAAAGTTCTCCGCAGCAAACAGTTTTCCCAAGTAACAACACCTAAGAATCATAAGAAATCGTAGTAACAACACCAAAGAATCATAAGAAATCGTATTTGGAAAAACATTTTGATCCTTGGTAAGAACAGTAATGTTTTTCTATTAAGCTATACAGTACAAGTATTTAAGTACTGTGCTGTACTTGCAACTCAAATATTGTTGTGTGGGCAGGTGAGTTTAATCCCTAACATAGCAACATCTTTTTCAACCACAGGGTTGGTACCTGTATGTACTGTTTTGTATGTACAATATATGAAACAATATTTATAAAAATTTACAAGGCAAAAAATAATAAATATGCTTATGTGTGTGTACAAAAAATCTGTGAACATATTCTGTACAGTACATTGTTTTACTGTTTAGGACTGTTTATATTAAAACAGAGATACAGACCCAGGAAACAGGATTGGTTCAACGAACTGTGACAGGGCTAGAGACCAAAAGACACAAAAATTAAATCACTATTGGAAGAGGCCAAACCCTCAAATGTACCAGCAATACAAAGAAACAATAAACAACTACACAGCAGTGAGAAGAGAGGCTGAAAGAAATTTTTAAAATGGGATACCGGACACATGTAAAACAGAACCAGGCCTATTCTGTAAATTCATTAAAAGCAAATTGCTTTTAGTTTATAAAATTAAGTTTAACATCCAGATTCCAAACCTGCAATGCCTTTATCTCAACTTCTCGTGGGTTGTCAATTATTAACTCTGTAATCTTCTTGTATTCTTTCATCAGCACATCCACCCTTTCTAGTTTTTTCTGTCACATCTTCAAATTGAGTAGCCCCTTGGGAATACAACTTCATTTAAATATTTTATTCAAGCGTTGTCTCTCTTAGTGCATCAATATCTGGGACCTTAAACTAAATTATATCTTTTAGCTCTACTATTTTTTTATCTTGCTCATCTATGTTGGTATATACAATTTTCAGGAACATGTTTCCTCTCTCTTTGTTCTTTGCTTCTCCTTTTGCTAATGATTTTGTTGGTTTGTTTTTATGTACCATTTTACAGGCCTTCTAGTCCCTATCACCTTGTAGAAAAAAGGATTTATTTCTTCTATTTCCATTTAGATGTTTTGCATCATCAAGGTTTAGTTTTAGTTTTTCTTTGTATTCCCTTGAGAGGTCTCATCTTTATGACCAAAGTTTTCCATCCTCATCATTCTTCAGTTTCCTAAGCACTTCCATAATTTGCTTCACTCTATTAAATGGCACCCTTAAGAAGTGATTCTTGTCTTTCTCATATTTGCCTATCCTCTTAAAATCACTGACATTTTCCTGTCACGAGGCCTTCTCCTAGTCCTACTATTTTCTCGATGATTTTTTTTCCTCGACTGCTGCTGCTGCTCTATCCAAGATGGTATTTCCTTTTCGAAGCACCCAAAATTAATGTGGACTGAATTCTGTCTGCAGTGCTTTGTACTAATTTACTGTTAGTAACCAGTCCTTTCCTAATTGCTTGTCTAATGTCTGTTTCTTGCTGGTCATTTCTGTTTATGACTTCCAAACATACTTCCTGATTTCCTCATTCATATATCACATTAATTCCTACTGATTTTCTCTGAGAAATATTTGAAGGACCTGGTGTGTCAGACTCTGAAGAGAGTATTCCCTCTGATCACATTGTTAACAAGGTGTGCCTGTAGGTTGTAAAACATTTAAGGGTGATGCCAAGCTTCATATTGAGTGGAGATTGTGCCCCATCCCCTCTTTTCAGCCCCATCCTCTCCTAGCCCCACCTTCTCTCTCCCAGCCCCACCTTCTCTCTCCCAGCCCCACCTTCTCTCTCCCAGCCCCACCTTCTCTCTCCCAGCCCCACCTTCTCTCTCCCAGCCCCGCCTTCTCTCTCCCAGCCCCGCCTTCTCTCTCCCAGGCCCGCCTTGCCTCTCCCAGGCCCGCCTTGCCTCTCCCAGGCCCGCCTTGCCTCTCCCAGGCCCGCCTTCTCTCTCCCAGCCCCGCCTTCTCTCTCCCAGGCCCGCCTTGCCTCTCCCAGGCCCGCCTTGCCTCTCCCAGGCCCGCCTTGCCTCTCCCAGGCCCGCCTTGCCTCTCCCAGGCCCGCCTTGCCTCTCCCAGGCCCGCCTTGCCTCTCCCAGGCCCGCCTTGCCTCTCCCAGGCCCGCCTTGCCTCTCCCAGGCCCGCCTTGCCTCTCCCAGGCCCGCCTTGCCTCTCCCAGGCCCGCCTTGCCTCTCCCAGGCCCGCCTTGCCTCTCCCAGGCCCGCCTTGCCTCTCCCAGGCCCGCCTTGCCTCTCCCAGGCCCGCCTTGCCTCTCCCAGGCCCGCTTTGCCTCTCCCAGGCCCGCCTTGCCTCTCCCAGCATCTCTTTCAGCCCCCCCCCCCTTCTCCCAGCCCTCCCTGCTCCTTTTTCCAGCACAATAAGTATAGGTACTTACCTGTCAATAAGTACCTATACTTATTGTGCTGAAAAAAGGAGGCAGGGAGGGCTGGGTGTGAGGGTTCGGCTGAAAGAGGAGCTGGGAGAGAGAGGGGGGGAATTTGGGGAGAGAGTGAGGGGGAATTTAGGGGGAGAGAGAGAGAGGGGGGGAATTTAGGGAGAGAGAGAGAGAGAGGGGGATTTAGGGGGAGAGAGAGAGGGGGAATTTAGGGAGAGAGAGATAGGGGGGGAATTTAGGGAGAGAGAGAGGGGGAACTCACGTCACTGGGAGACAGAAGAGTTAGAGGGGACATTATCACCACATACAAGATTCTCAGAGGAATTGATAGGGTAGATAAAGACAGGCTGTTTACCACAAGGGGCACACACACTTGGGGGGACAAGTGGAAACTGAGTGCCCAAATGAGTCATAAAGATGTTAGAAATAATTTCTTCAGTATCAGAGTGGTTAACAAATGGAATGCTTTAAGCAGTGATGTGGTGGAGGCAGACGCCATACATAGCTTTAAGTGTAGATATGATAGAGCCCAGTAGACTCAGGAACCTGTACATTAGTTGATTGACAGTTGAGAGGTGGGACCAAAGAGCCAGAGCTCAACCCCCGCAAGCACAACTAGGTAAGTACAACTAGGTAAGTACACTCACTCACTCACGCTCACTCACTCACGCTCACTCACTCACTCTCACTCACTCACTCACGCTCACTCACGCTCACTCACTCACTCACGCTCACTCACTCACGCTCACTCACTCACTCACGCTCACTCACTCACGCTCACTCACGCTCACTCACGCTCACTCACTCACGCTCACTCACTCACGCTCACTCACTCACTCACGCTCGCTCACTCACGCTCGCTCACTCACTCACGCTCACTCACTCACACTCACTCACTCACGCTCACTCACTCACTCACGCTCACTCACTCACTCACGCTCACTCACTCACGCTCACTCACTCACGCTCACTCACTCACGCTCCCTCACACAAGCGTGAGGGAGCGTGTGTGAGGGAGCCTGTCACTCCCTCCTCCCTCAAGATGTGTTATTGTGACCTGACAGGTGTGTGTGCATTGTTGTTGTAAACTGACAGGTGTGTGTGCACTGTTATTGTGACCTGACAGGTGTGTGCATTGTTGTTGTGACCAGGTGTGGTGTGCTTCACAAGTTGTGTGGTGGTGATGTATTCAGTTGCAACTATAACGTAAATTCGGGCTTGTGGTATATAATTTGTCACCAAAACCTTCAAAGTGACAAATTATATATGCGGACTGTGACTTGAAAACGCGATAGGATGGATTATACAAAATAAGAAGTTTGTAAGTATTTGTAGGTCTTGCGGGTAAAACTGAAACACCATAGGCAATATAATGTTTTATTATTAATTAATTAATTAACATAGTTGCAACTGGAGGTTGCTAGTAATTTGTAACTGCGAGTTTCAGCCTATGGTGTGATACATACGTTAAGTGACCTTAATAGCCATACTTGTATACCTATTTTGCCTAATGTTTAAGTAGGCACCCGTAAACACGGCAAGTGATGCGTAAATAAGGTATACGAGGTTAGAGAATTCATCCTAAAATGATAAATGGTGGAATTAAGAATATTAACAGAGGATGCATAGTCTGTGCACGAGTATGTTAAGCCTAAATAATTAACATTACATGCACATTACCAATAATTACGCATTTACATAGGTAAAGACTAATGTAAATGACAACGTCTGTGCGTGATTTAGTACGGGAATAAGGTTACATG